TGGAGCAATGGATTTTACTCGGAGCAGGAGTGGAGCCAGAGCACGGAAATTTGTAGTGCTCCACTGCTCCAATATATATATTTATTTAATATTTGAGACAATGAGAATGGAAGTCGCATAAGTTGTAATATTTACAAATGTTAAAAATACAATAATTGAACTAAAAAGAAAGGTGATCACAAGAACAGATTAATTTTATATCCATTCCACATATGTCCCATGTGAAAGGTGGGAACCTCTTTCTCCAGTCTCCACTATCCCCTGACCAAGCTATTCCTTCCCCTTCATGACTCCCCAGTTTATTTGTTAAAATCAATGAGGTTATATGTTAATTTTTTAATAATAAATTAGTTGTAAATAAACAAGTTTTTTTATGCGTACTTATATACCAAAGACAAAATTAGTGTAATTCCTATAAGAATATTTTAACCGGAGCATGGAGCGGAGCTGGAGCAAATACTTTGATACCGGAGCAGAGCTGGAGCGGAGCAACTCAAAAACTGGTCGCTCCAAAGCCCTGGTATTAGGAGATTAAATTTTTGGTGGTTAAAGATGAAGATCAAGGGGGATAGAGGGAGATCATCAATCGCGTGTCGAGTAGAGTCGAACGAAATGATTTTACTGGTTATTAGCATTTATAATTTTTTATGAAACCGATATCTACGCACAAAATGAAGATTTTTGCCATTTTATAATAATTGAAAGTATAAAAAATTTTTAAAATAAAATTTCAAAACGTGGCGCCACACACCACACAATTTTAACTTTTCTGTTGGGAAAGTTACGCAACTCGTTGCTGCATGTTTTTAAAGTCGTATCTATAAAGTTGGTTGGAAAATTTTTTTAATTAAAAAAAATGAAATTTAAATCAAATTATTAATTTGTTTAAACGAACGACTTATTGCATTTTCTCAAAGTATTCTTTACTAATTAAACATAAACGTTCATTGTGTAAACTGTTACGTAGACGTCCGAGTTCCTCTTTAATGTATATAATTGTAAATATAAATTCATTAACGTAAGTAAATAAATTATACAAAAAACGAATCGAACCAGCCAGGATTCGAATCTGGAATCTTCTGATCCGTAGTCAGACGCGTTATCCGTTGCGCCACTGGCCCGCTTTCTCCCCTTAATTATGACTGTTATACAATTACTCTCGATATATAAATTCTGTTAATGTATAGAACTAAAAGCATACAGTAGACCCCCCTATAACGCTTAGATACGTTCCACGCTAACCGAAAATTACGTTGTAGGAATGATTAAATACATGACCCAATCGCAGCCCGATAGGTGTGAACTTTACGGACTAAGGCTGTTCGAAAGGTTTTCTTCTATAAAATTAACCGATTCTAGACTAATTCCACTCAACATTTCCAAAATACGTATAATTTTTTGGGAATAATCTGTATAAACTATGCTATAAACAAAAAATTGTAGGATTACTTACACCGTTCGACTACGCCGTTGCTTAAAGCTGGTTTTCATCGCGGAACAGCACGCGAAACGACGGCCGCAATTTCTGATAACGAATTTTTGGCGGAAAAATAACTTGACCTTTGGAGACATCATTAATATAAATAATTTTTATGGACGTTGAATAAGAAGTGTTTCTTTCACAAGAAATGTATAAAATTAGTGCTGTATTAGACTTACGGTACCTAATTTACATACTGTGCAGACGATAATAAACTCAACTTACTAGCCTAAAATCTCCGTAGCGTGTTGCCAGGCGGCAGAAAGCATATATATAATTATAATAAAGTTACAATAAATTAAGTTAATATATAATTATATATACAGTACCTAATTTATATATAATTAATATATAATTATATGTACAGTACCTAATTTATATATAATTTATATATAATACTAAACAGACGATAGCAAACTCAATTTAGCCGCTCCGTAGCGTGGCGCAGGGTCGGAGGAAAGTAGTTCGGCTGCTCATCCACTATTGGTCCAGACTCTATCAATCTTGTCGCGAAACGACGTTATAGGAGGTACGTTATACGAAAGTTGCTACAATTTTTTCGCTACGTTATAGGAATTGTCGTTATAGGAACGTACGTTATAGGGGGGTCGACTGTATTCTTCGGTGACAGAGGACATAAGTCAGTAAGATTCGTCCTTAACGCGCCAGAAAATGTATTCGGAAGTGCCCACATTTGCACATTTAAAGCAATTTCCGTATCGATATCGCTTTAAACTCCCGGTAGCGAGTATTACGATCAATAGATGCATTACGTTAGAAAATTTCCTTTTTAGTAGCTACGCGATCACGGTTCTTACTTCAATATGGATAATATATTAATTTATATAGAAAGGAGAGTTACAAATCCGTCATTTTATCGTTTTCGATGCGAAAATACGACTAAAATTAATTTTGATTTATACGAAAACACGTGGAAAAGTAATACTTGTAATCGCAGCCATTACGGAACGAGAAAAACGTTAACTATATTCCAACGAATTGGTCGCCTTAAAATAACTATAAACATTTTTGTAATTATTAAATGAATTTCCTCTTACGACGCCATTTAATATTAATCTAAAATAAATTTGCTTTTTATATTAAATTACTTTATGTTTATCAATTAGATATAACGTGTCTCGCGTTACGTCACGCGACAGGAACGAAAACAATTATCAAAATCCATCCGCAAATAAAAAATTGGACATTTATTTTATATTTTGCATAATTTCATTAACATTTTTAGTTTTCGGTTAATGGCGCTTCCTCGATCTTGTCAAAAGCGACTGGAATTTTTTCCCCATCTTTAAATTTATTATAGCTAATTTATAGATGTCAAATACGAGAAGACGACGATCAAGCTATAATTTATTAAAGATTAGTTTCTTTCTAGTTTGCGAATTAATCATTTTCCTAATTTTTTCCCATCAGACGAGTTTAAGTAAGAACGGGATTTATGGCTGATCGTAATCTCTTGGATTATGCACGACACCTGCAGTACATGCAAGTAGATAGAAGAAAAGAGGATCCTCCATTAATAATTTTCAAAATCGCATTCGTTCATTTTCGGCAAATTTTCAAAATTCTCAAGGAATTAAATAAGATTCTAATGCAAAACATTGTTCGCTTGTTTGTCTACTTTCGTTTTTGAGAATTTTGCAAAAATGATTTTCCCATAGAAAAAAAAAACATTACATCTCTTACCGCAATCTGCCGAAGATCGCGTGCGTAACCAAAGAGGTTACGCACGCGATCTTCGGCAGATGGCGGTAAAAACGCCTTAAACGTTACAGTTTATGTTTTTATCATTAATTTCTTGTTTTAAAAAGGATTTAAAAAATCAAAAACTGGATTAATTAATCGCATTCGACCCGCGTAAATCCGTGCTGAAAGTTTAAACACGCGTCCACTTCGGTGCTTCGCATTCGTTTATGATATGTTAAATGCGAACAGGATCTATTGATACTGTTTATAATATAAACGGTAAAAATGTTCAGCTTTTTTCCTTCCTTTAACCTAAGTTTGTATAATATTAACTTTCTTTTCCTAAATCTACTTTCGCTCCATAAACCCGTATTGTTTGCCAACCGTGTTCATAAAGTTTAGCTGAAAATTATGCCTTATTATCGAACGAAATACGATAAAAACCGGATCGGAACGAAATACCGGATCGGAACGAAATACGATAAAAACCGAATCGGTTTTTATCGTATTTCGTTCCGATTGGCCACCGAAGTGGCCAATCGGTACCGTTCCCCGAACCCTGGTGGCGGAGTTTTTTGTTTTTTGTCCGCTTCCGTAACGCCCGACTTCGGGGAGAATCACCCTTAAAAAGACCTCCCGGATAGCATTATTCCGCATAGACAAATCGCTCGAGTGTTGCTTTGCCGTAAGTTAATAAACAAACGATAAAAACCGATAACTGTATAATCTACTCGCTAATTGTTTAAATTTCGTGTATAGTTTACAGAAATTTGATTTGTTTTGCCGTGAAATTTTAAAAGGTTTATTTAAAACTTCATTAATTGTGTGTGTGATGAAATAATTTATTCAACAAAAATAGAATTTTTATTTTACCGGCCGTTATAGGCCTATACAACGGAGGGAAAGTATGCCGATCGGTCAAAACTCACCCACCAAGAATTTTACATTATTGGATTCGGTGGAACTGGAAACATCGAGAAATGTAAAAATAGTTTAATATTATTTTCAAAAATTTTGCAAAAGTTACGTGCAGCTGTTACTGTGTGGAGGGCTCGATTTTGATCACTCGCTTCAAAGCTTAAGTCCTGCGTTTTGTCGAAAATGTCTGAAATTTTGCACAGAGGTTTGTGTATTACGGGTATTGATGAAAAATCGACAAGTCACTTGTATCTCCAATCGGTCGGACTTAATGAAGATTTTACTCATATTAGCATTTACAGTTTCTTTTCTTTTCTTCTTTTTTTTTTTTTATAAAAGTCCATCTCTACCTTCAAAATTAAGCTTTTTTCCATTTTATAATAATTAATAATGTATAGTTTAACCGGAAAAGCAACGCAAATCGTTGCTGGATGTTTTAATATTGTAAATTTAAAGAAAACAGAAGGAATTCTTTCTTCAGTTTTCTGAAGTAATTTCCTGTAATTCTTTAGATTACTTGAAGCCAACATTGGATTTCCGTCCTGTAGGCACTAAAATGCCTTCTTCTCAGTCCCATAAGTTTGTCCAGAGACACAATGGAGTAACCGACATATCCGTAACGAACCAAACTGAAAAATTCCTGAAATTTGTATCGGATTTCCCAAAGCGGTGGAGTAACCGCCTGTCATTCGGCTGACAAAGCAATATGTTTCGACAGATATAAAGTTAGTATTGCGAGACATCCATATTTGACAGCTGAAAGTCGGATGTATTTTATTTTATTTTAATCTTAACTAAAAGTAAACTAACTTATATTAAAAATAATTATATAAAAATGAATCATAACTCCTTATTAAATGAATATGACATATATTTTGCTTTTGTACACTTTTTATTTTCTCATGTAATATACAGTTTTCTATAATTTTATAACACGTTTATATTGCCAACAATTTAATTTTTAAGGTTTATCTATGTTATAATTATGTTCTATTTCTCTACAAGATAAGTTGATGATTCTTCTGAGGAAAAGAAGAAAAAAGCGAGTTTTTATAAGTACTTGTATTTTAATTAAAGAAAGTAAATAGTAAAAATTGAACAAATTCTGTTCTATAATCTCTAACAAGTGCACATAAAGTTAAATATTAATACATTATCTCGAAAGAACACTAAAGATATACTGTATGTCCAGAAAAAACACTAAAGATTTTTGCAGTACACACTAATGCTGTTTTTTCGGCACTTAAAATTCGGTCAAAATGACTTTAAAGATGGCCAAATTCTCTCCTAAATTTATTGGAACCGTATTTTCGCAGAGTATCCGGCTTTCTTTTCCCACTCTTACCTTTTCCGCTCTCTTCGCGTTGATTTCCTTTCATCTTTCTCAATAAATCTTTGCTGTTAAAATCGATCTCGCTATCAAAATAAACGTTATTAACGAATTGTAATAATTGATCCACTTTGCTCGGAAAAGCTTTCAGCGTATCTTGAGTCGAAACTGTCTTCTTTGTTGGTACAATAGGAGGAAGCGGTTGTACTTTAGATCTTCCAACACCCACCATCATTTTAACACGTTCGATGGCAAAACGAAGAAGCTCGGAATCTTTGTTTTCTTTAGCAATGTCCTGTTTGACATCTTCGAAACTTTGTATGATTATCGTTAAAAGAATATTGATAAGAACCATGGCCGCAGAGATGGAGAAAATGAAAAAGACAATAGGAACAAAGAAAGGAGAAGCGGCTGCCATTTCTGGATACTTAAACTTTTTAAGTAACATGCTTATACAGGACTCAAAAGACAATACGAAAGTAGAAAACTCCCACATGAATCTTCCTAAGAGAAGCCAGAACAAGAAGACGAATGCCCCGAAAACTACCATAAGACAAATGCCAAAGCTACGAAGCTCTTCTGCCACCTTTCTCAAGGTTAATGCTAAGATTCCCATTCTTTTGTTAAATCTCAACAGTTTCAAAAATTGTAAAGTTGCTAAAAACATAAGGAATGCAAGCATGTAGCTCAATAAACAATTATAAAGTACTGCTTCTTGTAATTTTACGTATCCAGTTCCTTCGGTTTCTCTAAAAATTTTGAGTATTTGTTGAGTTAGAATGAAACGATAAACGAATATTGCGATCCCTGCGTATGAAAATAACAATATGGCAAAATGACACATGTTCCAATATTCGTCAAAGTATTTCATCCGTTGCCTGTAAAAAGTCTTCAATTCTCTAATTGTAATATATAAAATGAAAACTAGGAATAGTATCTGTACGACTAAAAAGAACATTCCACTATTATTATGGTAAAAGAGTAACCTAATGGGATCAATATGATAATAAGGAGTGATTCCACCCCCAGGAAGAAACTCTGCTACAATAGTTACTGCTGCAAACAGATTTACTTGCGCATTATATACCGATATCTCGACAAAAATGGCACGGGTGTGTCTCCCTACCCAATTCTCTTTTTGTAACCGTTTAATGATGTTACGAACGTCGTCCTGCTTTTCGAATAGAGGAACCACATATCCTCCTCCACTGTAATAATCCATCATGCCCCAGAAGGGATACCCTTTCAATTGAGAAGCAGTTAAGTACTTGTATTCGGGTGGAGTTCCGGATTCGGCAGTAAAATTAGAATCCCAACCTGAACCATACAGGCCACCATCTTCAAAAACTATAGAACCGTAACCGGCACATTCTGGAGTAAATTCTTTCATTTGTTTCGCTACAGCGCAGCTATCTGTTTTAGAAAATAATATAAAGTTATTTATTCTCCAGTCCTGCGTCTGTAATTTATAAAATATAAAACAAGAAATTACTTGGTTTAATTCTTATTTGTCTCATTATTGCATAACTTATCTTCAAATTGTTTCTATCATCTAAAAATCCTCTTAGACCCAAAGGAGGCAAGCCATTATACCAATCTCCCGCAATAAGTTCTGGTATCAATGCTTCATTGGTCCAGTTCCAAAATCTCACTTCTGTATTCACCTAAGAATTTATTTTTAAAATCAAACACCCATACTTCTGGCAACTTAAAAAGATTCTGAAAAGATATTTACGTTATTGAAATCGTTCCATAAATCTCCCGGTTTAATGAAATCATTTATAAGATTCAACCGCATGTAATATCCGTTAGGATCTCTTTCTGCCATACACATGACTATGACTAACCACAGAAAAGCTCCATATCCACATATTTCCTTCATTAAACTGTGTAGCCTTAATTCTTTTTCTCTTTCCTGTCTTGCAGCCTCTATGGCTTTAGGGTCCAGCGGTCTGTACATATGACGCTCCGGACGAATTGGTACTGTGATGCATGTTTACTTAAGTATACAACTATAAGCCATTAATTGATCCTGTTTATAACAAGTTTATAATACCTGGCTTGTGTAACCATTCTTCATCCTTCTCAAGTTGGGGATCTTCTTCGTCTTCGTCCGCATCATCCTCATCGTAATCCAACTTTCGGCACACCATTGACAGGAACATTGCAATTAAAAATATCTGAAAGAATACTATTGATAAGAATTATGATAAATTAAATTCTAATACAAATAAAAGTTAATTTTTACTTTTATAGGCTGAGTAAGGAGAACTGAAGAAAAGAAGGAAATGACTAAGGCAGTTAACCATTTAGAAGTTTTCACGTTTCCAAATTGAATACCATAAGCCCAAAGAAAGAAAATTGACACGCCAATAGAAGCAAATACGAAAAACCAACCAAAAACCACACACCACCAGGGCAAGGTAAATTTTCGCTTTCTTTTAATCCTCTCTTTAATAGCAGATTCATCAAGCGGTTTACTGTTTCCTCTTCCCGCATTAGCTGACATTTCTCCACACTCTGTCTCCCACGCCTCTCCTGAAATTTAAATTTTACATAAAATATTGTAATGAGCGAGTATAGAAATAATTTTTCACTTACTTTGCTTCTTCAGGGCCTCTTCAATTCTGGAAGGTCTTAACCTTCTCGGACGTGACTTACGGAAAAAGAAAATCATCAAAAAGCTAGGAGGAAAAACAACGAAGTTGGATATAACTCCGACCATCACCTATAAATAATTACAGTACTTAATTAATAATATTGATAATTGTGTCGAGTTGAAATCCATAAATGATGACATAAATTACTTACTTGTTCCATTGTGAGTGAGAATGGTCCTAGTTTCAAGGCACCCGGACTGGGCTGATTGGACGTTCTCTGATACCACATGGCATTTGCTAACATAGATAAATATAGGACTGCCATGCAGCAAGAAACTCTTTGAACTCGCGTAAAGCGACTACGAGGCGGACGAAGAAAAATTGAAAACCATAGATGACTATCAGAGAGTTTCTGGCGCGATGTTGTAGCAAAAAGATGGGAAAATTCTGCTTTCTGTTCCTTTCCAGCAACAGGCAGCAGACGATCGATCTGAAAAAATGATATGCAAAAAACAAAAGAAAGTTCACAAAGTTTTTCCTTTCAATCCACAAATACAGATCCCGAAACGTACCAGGCCATCTCCCTCTTCCACTGCAAACCATTTATTGGCGATGAACTCGTACTTCTGACCTGTCTGAACATCTCTGAACACGATATATTGCAAGAACCACGAGGCCCATTTTCCTTTTCCGGAGTTATCGTGCCAAATTCTGAGATAAAATAGATCACCTAGAGATCTAGAATGAAATCAAACGTATATGTCGCAATTATTAGTATTATCTCGCTTATTTATTTATGCTACTTGTAGTGCATACCTTGACGTAGACATGACGAAAACGTTTACACTTCCTGATCGTAAAATCGGTCTCTTACCATCAGCTAAGGTTCGAACTTCTGTTTCGTCATCTTCGCCGGACACCATAAAATAGACCTGGATTAAACATATGGCGTTATAATTATTATATGTTCTGTAAGAATAATTCAAAGATTTAATTTTTGTTACAAGATTACATTGACAATACTTAAGCCATATAATATCTATAATAAAGAAACTAGTCGAAGTATTTGATGTTTTTATGAATATTGGGTAAACACAGTTTATGTAATTACTTTGTTGGATGCTGTACACGTTAATTTGCTTAATTTGTTAAAAAATACGAGAGTTTTTTGATGTTTTAGTTGTTATTCTACTTAGTTAAGTTTAACAAATAGACGTCCATCTGGATATACACTAATCTCTTACAGATTGAAAACTGTCAAAGAATAAAGATAGAAGAACTTCACGAAACTAAACTGAACTGCAATGTCTCCAAACAGTTCCTCTACGTGTAGATGAACTTTATATGGAATTTGTTAATTGTTAATGGGAAACTGATTAGGGGACGTGGTAAAGGGTCAAAATTTACATGCGAAAGAAGCTTATTAAAGAAAAATGTTCGATAATTACTTTAGATTTTGTTCCAGCGTTCACGTGATGTCCGGTAAACACTAGAATTTCATAGATATATTTGTCTTTGGGATCGTTATCGGGAAGTGGTGTGGCACCTAACTGGAAGTAAACAAAATTCGATTATAAGAATTATAAAATACTCAAAAATTGAACAATAAGGGAGGTACAAATTTTCTCAACTTTTCAGTTAGAATCGCGACTTTATGATGTAAAATGCATCGTAAGATCATCGTGTGACCGTACAATGCTCCATAAACTGAGAAGAGCGAACGTAAAAGAGCGGCCATTTTCGTTAGCCTCAAACCATCGAGGCTTTTCTGGTGTAGAGTAAGGAACTCGTCGGTCATGAGATAAACGCAAATTTTTACATTTAATGCCTATTTTTCAACCAACGTGGACACACACATAAATGTACAAGCCTTTCTTAGTTTAATTGTAACTTAGTAGTTTAAAAGAGCGTAAAAATTGATATATTCGAAGAGAAGATATTATCGAGTGATATAACACGGATGAATGTTCCTTATCATTATGTGCAATGCCGTAACTAGCTTTTCATGTCCCTTGTGCAAGATTTTACTTTTGACCCGTCTTTTCATTTGAAAAAATAGAAAAACGAAATTTTGATGCCGTGGAAGCCAAAATTTAAAATTTAAAAATAAAAATATAATATATATAATAAACAGCTTAACGCCCGATGATTATAAATAGATACAAACAACGATCTCCCGAATAATCGGAATGGAATTTGCCTAATTAAATGACTACTATATATAATACTAATACTGGTCAATTCTAACAGCCCATTTTAGGACCTACTGAGTCATTATTGAAAAACTTTGTACCGCCCTAAATGTTCAATGATAAAAATAGACAAGTTCGGTGCCCTAATTAAGGAACTCGCTGACAATGTAACGTGACGTTTTAAGCAATCATACCTTTCGCACATCTTTTTTGTCTTTCCATCTGGCCCAAATCATGAGGCACACGTAAATGATAAAAGTGACAATTAAAGTCATATATATAATATAATTATTGCTGAAATCTGCGTGAGCAAAGACGTAATCGAAGTCCACCATATTGGGAGCTACTAAAAAACTTCCAGCGAACGATGTCAGATGATCGCAACTGCAGTTAGTTTCCATTTCGCTGACAGCCTCGACCTAAAAATACATAAACAAACGAAAATGATGAAAAATAGATTAGAAAACATTGGAAAAGTTTCGAACTTACCTCGCAGCCATCGGTTCTCCATAATTCTGAATTTTCGTCAAAGTAGTAGCAAGCGGTGGAAAATAGACAATACGAATAATTGCAAGAGAATTTGTTGGTCATATTTTCTGCTGTTAAGTTATATGAATCTATATTATCGAAGAAGAAATCTGCGTCAGTGTTATTAGCGAGATGGCCTACTGCGATGTACAGCGTCGAGTTATCTTTGATGTCTTCATCAGTGGTTAGAGTCATCGAGAATATCCCTAAAAGCACGGTTTATAAAATAAAAAAATGATAAGCGGCACAATAACAGTGATCAAAAACATACCAGTTTCATCGACTTCTGGACGAAATATACTTTCGAAATCTTTAACTGTCGGTTTGTGGTCATATTTAGTGAAGACGACAAAAGGAGCATCGCAACTGGGCCTAAACTGAAAAATGATAGAAACTCCTACATCTGTAACGTTTATAAAATGGTAGGCCAAGAAATTGTGACTTTTGAAGTCAACTTTGACATTATTCCAACACGGTGTTGGATCGTCTCGCGGAATAGAAAATTTAAATTTTTTTTCGTAATTTTCTTGAGGTATTGCGGTTTTATTTTCGGCATCAACAATGTCGAGTTGAATTGTAGCTGATCCTTTATACAGTTTATCGGTGTTGTTACTGTAACAATTGAATGGTCGGTTCCATTTCACCATCTGTGATGAAAAATGGCAACTGTTAATGTAATACCCTTTCAAATAAGTACAAAAGTTCGAACAAACCTACCTGTACTGCTATTGTAGTATCCGAAGAGCAATCGTCGTCAGGCTTTCCACTCAGTTCGCAGACATCGGTTGAGTTAAACATAGCCTGGCGTTTCTTGATGACCATGTCATTCGTATTTTTGGAGATTCTGCAAAGGTGGGATTATCTAAAGCATTTTTAAAAAAATTATGAAAGCGACAATAAAAAGCGACGTACTTATAAATTGTGAGTTTAAAACCACTTTCCGTGCAGAGATTGAACGGTTTGTTCACGAATATAAGTTCTACAACTATCCTTTTGATTTTGACGATGACGTATTGAATTTTAATGATGATTTCTTTTGCCTGTAAGCAGAATTTTTAAAGTCTGTGCGACGGTTGGCTGGAGACCACGTTAGAGATGAAGTGGATTCTGTTCGTAAACGAATCTACGTGTGCCATTGGTAGTGCTTCCGCGCTATTATGGCACGCGTGGAGTCGTTTGAGAACAGAATAATTACATAAACTGGATCGGCGCAGTTGTCCGTAGCTCTCTGTTTCTTATTCTTCATTGCTTCCTTCTTGGTTTGTGGTTTGACTAAAAAAAACAATTGACCTGTAGTTAAGCGTTCATAACTTCCATAATTAAAAATTTTCTAAACTTACCAAAAGAAAGAAATGGGTTTTTCGTGTCTGGATTGTTTTCAAATTCCTCTTCCGCTTTTTCTCGATCTCCCTTGAAACAAAATCCCATCTGTTGTGTAGCTACTGACTGTAACATACAAAGCAACCATTTAACTTATATTACAGTTCAAAACTTGGATATTGCTATACTAATGAGTGCTTACCGCAAACAATATTTGAAAGACAAACCGTTGTGTATAAACTCAGGCCCACTTCAAATCTTCATTTTCTTTTGTTTTTTGCGTGCATGATTTATATTTCAGATTTACTCCTTTAAATTTGTAAATATGAAGTATATAACATGAAGATATCCCAAAATTTATAATGATAATGATGTTCAGAACACCCTTCTGATCCATATTATGGTGAATTTCAAGCCTTAATCTAGATTCGATTAACTCATTAACTAATAAATTTTTAATGTAATGGTGTGCAGTGATATTGGGAAGTAGACATACAGTAAAAAATGTGTGGTTTCTATGGTAACAAAAGGAAAAAATAAAGGAAAGATTGTGGCATATACGCAATATCTAGCCTAAGCTTATACATAAAGTCTCAAACTCACCTATTTGTGTCGTGAGACATTTTCGCTGGTGGACTATCCCACATAAGCACGAACGCCACCAAAATAAAAATAAAAAGCGTTGACGGACTCACACCTCACCCCTCTCTGTATAATGTCCACGCTGTGTCTCAAACCACGCGGAATACAGCGCGAGATTAATCCCGTAAGCAGCGTTATCGTTTCTGTAAAGATCGTAGGTCTGATTTGCGCTAACTTAAGGAAATTCTTAAGGCTATTTCTCCATCGCCATCGTTAAGGAAACACGGTGTACACTATCACCCTTTCTGTCAACAACTGTACGAGAATTATAATAATCTTGTGCTAAACGATAACAACCTATTGTTAAAAGAGGAGAAAGTCAACCGTGGAACAAGTAAACAGAATGAATCTCGCAAGTGTCGAACCAAATATGGTAATAGCAGCTCTATTTAACGACATCTTAACGTCATCAACGGTTCACCTATGACCCAACACCTGCAAAATCAACCTTCGTCTCCTGACGAATGGGTTTTCCCAGATCGGATAAAAAGGAATCTGGCACTCGAGTCAAGGCGGACATTCCCAGAGACATACAGAGTGGACATCTCCAGCCTCGCCACATTTCAGAGCGAACATCCCCATAGAAGAAGTCTCCTGTCCCACCAATTTCCGACATAGACCAAGGCTGAGCTTAGAACATCATATACTCCTCCAGAAGAAATCGAGAACATCTCTTTCTCAGAGATGTTTTGTTAGCCCTTATGTAAACTCTTTCTCTCCACGTGGATAGAACGGGAACCTCGCGAGTAGCTTAGTTGTATTTTGTAAAATCCTGTATATTCTAGCTTATAGTTATATTAAACTTTTGTTATTTACTAAACGGTCTACTCGTCTCTCTCGCGGACCCTATCGAGTTATTCATTGCGACCGTGAAAAGATTCTCCTATTTAGCCATCCGACGACAAAGTGAGCGGGTTTAACCGACTAAGCGGTCTAAAAAGAACCCCTACATTTCGATACAACTGTAGTAAGTACGTTTTTCTGAAATATCATTTTATACATTTTAAATAGTGTTAAAGTTGTTTTAAAAACTTGTTATTTAAATTACTTCATTTTCAGTAAGTTTACTGTCAATCTTTAGTGCAAGCTTCTTGCAGCTACCGGCTAAAACAGAAATGAACTCTACCTTTAACACTGTGGGGATATATGTATGAGTCTCAATATTTTTGAATTGTATTAAACAGCGCAGTAAATTTTTCACATACCAACAAACTGTGAGTTTAATAATTAATTCCAGTGTAATTTTTAAAATATCATTTATTTTCATATCCTAAATGCGAATTTATTAAAGCCAAATTGGGAACCGCGCTATCAAATTCATCACTTAGCCTATATAAGATTTAAATTGAGAGCACATTCATTTGAAATGAATTATTCTTACCGTAACTATTCTGTCCATAATGTTGCATATTTTCTCTAACAGGTTTCGGATATCCTCAGCACTGTTAATGGAAATTTCTTCCAATCTTTCTGCTGAATTCCTTAACACTACAAGAGCAGTTTCCTGGAAATAAACCAAATTTCCTTTATTACTTTCGATACAGAACAGGCAATTATTTAATAATTAGATTTTTAAATCAGTTATTTATGAATACATGCTCAGAAATTATTGCTTTAACTTACCGCACGTAAAGCTTACAACGACTGAAAAGTAATGAACTACAACGCCTTTATCTTGTTGTCCACTGATTTCGATAGACACAGTAGACAACATGAGAAAGGTGCTGCAGACCATTTTCGTGAAGTTTATATAGCATTTTAAGAAAAAAATCTATCAATTTCATATGTAATGAACACTAACCATTCCTTCTTTGTCCATCATGCCATTCATTGTGATACAGCTGATAGCTCCGGAAATCATTTCTAGATCTTCTACTGTTTCCATTGGTCTTAAATTCCTCAATCTGGCCATCATTTGATTGTTGTTCTAGTCAAAGAAGAAATTTAAATTTATAACGAGTTCTCTTACAAGATATCGTTTCCGAGGTAATATTCACCTTTGCTGTATTATCCATATCACTTTCCTTTTGTTCAATTATCATTTCTCTAACTTCTTCTTTAGCCTGAGGTGAAAAAAAACTAACATCCGCACCTTCCATGTCCAAAAATTCGTTCCATTTCGTATTAATGGCATCGTCACTCACATCTAAAAACGAAGGCAAGTTTTACTAAATTCTAATTTTATAAGTCCACATATAAAGAATATTCATAACGCCGAATACTTACTTCCCAAATTATCAACATTGTCTAACGAAGAGTTTGAACATTTTTTGATTTCCATTATTTCTGCAACTGCTATCTGTGATCCCAAACCTGCGTCACCTTCTCCCATCGCCTTATCAAACCATCTAAGTAGCTTCCATTCTTCATACTCTTCACAAGCGGGAAGTTCGACCTACATTGTTATAGAAGTATATATCTGCGATATCCCTCGACAGGCGCCATTTTCATCTACCTACCTTAGCGACAGCGACCAGGACCGTAACTTCTGCATCCCAATTATCCGTAACTATAACAAAAACCTCTAATTCTCCAGCAGGTAGAACTAAATCGAAAGATGTCTTTATCCCGTTACGCAGAGTTGTCGTATACATTCCTATTATATTTACTGTAAAGAAAATAAATTGTAACATAAAGGAATATAAATTACGGAGTAGATCAATACAGATTTACTAATTACCCATAGTCGTGTATGTAAAAACTTTGGTTTTCCCTTCAGGATCAGTCCATCCGGAGCATTTCATGAAGAAGTATTGTAGCAACGACGTTCCTTCAGTCGGAGTGAGGCTGCATGTTCCTCCTTCGGGAGGTTGGTTGATAATCAGATACATCTCTGTTTTTCCTACTCCTTCAGTCGATTTTGCTATAATACGGAATCGGAATTGTTTGCATTGTTGATGAGCTTGAAATAAAGTATGATTTATTCCTAATCGACCTCTATCACCTGAAAATTATGATTAAATTCGTAATTAAATAATTGTAGCAACAATAACTAGGATGAATTTCAGACTTACACACCTAAGCAATACTTTTTCAAATCGGCAATATGAGTTTCGTTTTCATCTTCTATATCTGTTGATTTTAAGCAGCTCGCCTCCCATTCAATAGACATGTCATCCATGCATCCCTCTATGCATTTATACCTCAACGTTAGCCATTTATCCTTGTTTATATAGACTTTGTCCAAGTATCGAATGCACATATGGTCCTTTTCACAACTGTAATGCGAAAATTAAAATTAGCTTTCTTAGTGTATTAACATGTAAGAAATTTTATCATTTTTACAATTTTGGGGGATTTTATTGAGATTTTTTCAAGGACTCTCAAGTTGCGCGCAAATTCAGAAACGTTCTTGATGGGGCTACCACCGGATTTCACACTTACATGTGGACGACTTTGAAGAACGATGTTTATACTTTCTTTCTTTCCGTTTAATTTCTTTTCATTACCCTTTAAACTTGAGATGAATAATACAATAAGGAAGACTGCGCGAAGGAAAGACGAATTTCATTTTGAGGCCGAGCAAATCACAAAGTATAACTCACAATCGCGTGGTTCCCCGAGTGGCGTGTATTCCTACCGCCGGAATAAACACATGATTGCGAGTCGTACTTCAATAAGATATAATAATTGATTTTCATAATTGATGTATTTTGATGATTTTCTAAACTTTACTTACAAAATGACCATAGTTGGTGGTGTGCCATCAACAACTTCGACAATAAGAAAGGTTGTACTTCTTCTATTTCCTAGCTGAGCCTGTAGTACAAATATATATGTTTCATTGGATTTACAAAACCAACTCGTAACGAAAACTACATCACCATCCATGTTAACAAAACCTAAGTTTAAGAAAATATAAGAGAAATGAAATAAAATTTTCGTCAAATCAAATTTCCTAGAAACAATTTTTACCTGGACCTTGACAAAAGCAGCCTCCTTTATCTTCTCCTCCTCTTTGACTTTCGTCTTTGAGGGGGCTAGAGGGATTAGCCTTTATTAAATTACCTTTCGGACCTCTTTGGAGAGTTTCACCTTTCCTTTTGCAAAACCAGCTGACTGTCAATCCCTACGAAAGATACAATGTTACGAGACGTTTACGAAAGACTAGCCGATGACGGTGATGTAACTTACTTCTTTGTTTTGTGGATCATCAGGATTGAAAGATAAAGATGCACCGCGTAATTGAATCGTCTGACCAAAACCTTTCCTTATAAATGATTCTTCAGTATCTAAAATTTTAGCTCTTAAGTTGCACTTTGTGATTTTAACGAACGTGAAGTCCTGCTCGGAGGCCAATTCTTTGTTGGTATCGTTCTCGTCTGAGAAAAATCACATTTATTCTGGCATAGTGTTGAGAAATTTAAAGATAACTATTACAAAACTTACCGAGTACAATACACTGGAAGATGAATTTATAGTATCCGTATTGTAATGATAATGGAGGAAGGTAAAGAGAAGATTTATTTGATTCAAATTTTGACATATCTATGGGATTAGTTTCAATTCCGTTCGGATCCGTGCTATTAATATACCATTTCTTCAGGGTTAAGTACGACATGTTAGACGTTAAGATTATGGTTGTTTCCAAACGAAATGCCTCGCATCTCTTATGCTAAAATATAAAAATCTTGGTAAATTTCGACGAATATTGACTGAGACTTTGGGCAAATTTTAAATTTTATTTACTATATACGGATTGGCGATGGTTGTATGATTATTCTCTATCCATACAATGGGACCATCACCCTGCTTTTTTATAATGACTAACGTTTCGTGAAAAACTGTCGATCTCGGATTGAATGCAACAGCCTTCACTGTCACAACTCGTACGTCTCGGTAAGTAAAATTAACCCTATCAGAAATTAAAATGGGTTACTACAAACATTAGAATTACTAGAAAATCTAGATTATTTCATACAAGATACAGTACATACTCTATGGGCATTTGTTTAATGGGTGGACATGTCGACGAGATAGCACCGTCATCGTATTCTTCTAGACAGCTGTTACGGTTGCCGAAACATTGAGGTAGGCTAATCCCGTCATTAGAATAAAAGATTAAGCAGGTTTTTTCATCAAACTTGTCTAAAGTAATGTTGAATTCTTTTGATGACCCATGCCCAGGTATGGAGCCATCGTGGGTAATTAGTACCCTGGTCAAGTTTTCGTAAGTGAAAATGGATATTGGATGGGAGTAATCTGTAGACATTTCGTACAAAAATACAGTGAAGTATGCGACATATTCCCCTAACTAAAAAGAAAAAAAATAGTTGTATATGTCCATGACACTAATTGCAAAGAAAATACGGATAAACAAATTAAAATTGCTTTTAACCATTTTAAAATTACGACGGATTGAAGGCTCAGTTATGTTTTCTACAGTTACATTATCATCAGGAGAAACAAATGTTATCTGATAAACTTCTCCCAAATCTGAAAGGATCAGTTTGAGAAATAAAATCAAATACGTATCAATTTACGTTATATCGAAAATATAATTCACCTGACATGTTTCCAAACGTTATGTTAAAGAGAAGCTCTTCGCCTAAAAGTGCATCCACGTAATCTGGATCTGTAAATTGCTGTTCCGTAGTGTTGACAGTAACGATGAATGTTTGGTCACCCGGATATAAAACTACCTAAATTTTGACATGGAATTATTATATTAATAAATTTTGAGAATATTGATACTAAGGATACTACTCGTAACTAACCTGTGTATTGAAAGACTTTTCTTCTATAGGATTAGTTATGTTAATAGTTGCAATGCGTTCTCTGACAAAGATTTCATAAGTATGACTAATTGTTGAGATGCAGTCCGTGATTTCCTCGGAAAGCATGACTTTCTCTTGAAGACCATCACCAAAATCTATTATGGCTTCCGCATTACTGGGCAATGGACCTTCATGAGTGAACTTCAAGCAAAATTCGACATTTCCTGAATAGGAAAACAATTAATATACAGTTTTGATATATCACAGCTAAAACAACTTATAATTTACCGGGAGGAAACGGTTGAGGAGAATTGTTTTCTAGTTGCCAAAAGTCAGTAATCGGATTAAAGCATCGAAGCTCCACGCCATCCACTTCACTCCCGTGTACGTTAGAGGCATTAACTGTTATGTTATAAATTCCTGAATCGTGGCATACTATTTCTTTGATATACTTTGTATCATCTAGAGAATTAATATGCTTTATGATGTAAATCAAGGAAAAATGTTCAATATTTATGTTACTTGCAAAATATCTTGTAAGATATCCCAACGATAAACATTTTTACAAAAATTTACATACCTTCAGGTTCAGATTCTTCAGTGGTTCCGTTTCCATAGTCATAAACAATGACGATGCCACTCCCTTTATGGAAGCGAATTGTCAAAGTCCACGATTCCAATACACTGATGGTGTGCTTTTCCACTTCTATGGTCATTTTTTCGATGGGCTGTTGGCATTCTACATTTCGAGTGTCGGAGCTTTCTGTCTTGGATTCTTGAGATATGGAGACGACGTTGACAGAAAATTTCCCTGTCTATAAAAATTGTAAGCATAGCAATAGGTGGATAAGTATATACATAATAGAAATCAAAAGAAAGCTAACCTGTTCGCACTGAAGAGCTATATCGAAGACAAATGGGCGTGCTACACAGACTTTTAAGAAAAGTCGTCCAACTTTATTGCTATCGCCATCAGTATCTTCCAGAAACAATTCCTTCTCCAAGTCTGTTGCATCTCTCTTCCCTATAAAAGCTGTACCACAAATGACTTTCACTCCACTACCGTGTGCTATTACCATCTGTTCTTCTTCTGTCAAGGTACGAAGATTGTAACCTTTCTTCGTTTCAAACGTGTATTTATGCACTTCTTCGCCTTCCGTATTACGTACAGAAGCGCAAGAGCCTTGATCTGTTGAACATCTGGCAGAACAACTACAAAATGGAGTAGAACATTGGAGGCACGAACCGCCACAAGTTGGTGTTGGGCAGTTTTCTCCATCTTGGCACGAAGGTTGGGTAATCTAAAAGTAGTAACAATTAACATTTAATTAAAGCAACAAATATTTAAGTAAAGATTTAATGGAATAAACAGACATTTTATAACTTTGGGTTTACGGTGATTTTTGAAGAACCGCGCTTTTCAACACGAGAATCAGATTTAAAAGCTTTAAAAGCCTTCAAATTTATTTATTATTCTGTATGCCAATTTATAATAATAACAACACGTTTCTCTCTGTGGCATCAAGTAATTGATTGAGTTTCGGTTGGGCAGTAGCTACACGGCTACCGGTATGTCGCCCCTACAGTCTAACTGATGGCACAGTGGCGCTCCCTAGTATTGTTAGTAATTTGTATATACGATGAGAAAGACTTATAATGCACTTAATTTTTTGTTTTTGAATATACATGAAACAATCACTAATTTTGTTGTTGCTGTTGCGTTTGATGTCCGGATTTGCCCAAAGGAGATTCCTGGTCGTTTGAAAAATGACGCATTCATCCAATTTATGGAGGGTGTTATCAGTTTTGAAAGGAAAATAGTGACATTTGTCTTGTCTGGCTAGGTTCTGTTTATGCAAGAAGTGGTTGGTAAGAAGAGATGTGGTGCGAGCTCTGTTGATAAGAATGATGGTATGTCTGTAAATGGACTCGGAGCTTTTTTCCCGTCATGGATAGGCTTCCCTTTACGGTAGGAGATCCATATTTGGTTCATTTTTTCTTTCGTGTCCTGTTTACTGATGGCGAGAAATCTTCTGGAAAAATGAAATTTGTTTTGTTGGTGATACAAGGTTTTCTCTTAGCAAGCTTGTCAGCTTTTTCGCTGATAGCGATGCCTACGTGCCCAGGAGTCCACCTGAAGATGAAAAATCTTCTAATCCTCGTGAATGGTCTCGCTTTCCAACGATACAACTTAGTCTCAGAGGTTATTCAAGTTAATTTCAACAAATGGATTCATCATCAGAAATATGAAGTACTAATTGCAACAGATGGTTCCAAAAATAATGAGTCTGTCACCGCGGCTTAACGAGTAACACCTCAACACATTTCAGCCTCCACCCCCAAAACGAGCATCTTCACGGCCGAGGAATACGCCACCCTTCAAGCAATTTCCTTTGCGGTAAAAGTTAACAAACAGATCATCATTTGTACGGACTCAAAGCCCAACTTGGAAAGCATGAATTTACCGAATAAATCCTCCCATTCCAACATTACCAATATTCTTGCAGCTATCCCCTCAAATCAAAATCTTTCCTCCAGCATCATATTCGTATGGCATCGAGTGTTCACACTTTGAACTCGGGCATCATCTAATGAGAACGATACAAATTAAGCGATATCTCATGGTTATTTTAAATCTTTTGTTATAATTTATTAGTATATTTTCAAGCCTTCGAAGAGATTAACCATTTTACACGAAGTTAGATTTATCACAGATTTTCAGTTTTTATTGTTTTTCTTGCAGCTTAAAATAATTTATTATATTTTATTTGAAATCTATATACTTTTTTTAGTGCTCTTCTCTGTAATAATAGCATTGATTATTTAAAGAGTATAGTTTCAAAAACGGTAACTCTGGATCTGAAACATAATGGTTGTGAATGTGTGTGATTTTGAAACTAATCTCTAATTTTCATACCCCTTTTCGGTTTTTGGCTAGTGTAGAAATTTCAAACAATCATCATTGAAAAAAGCAGAAAAATATATAAGATCAAGTTTTATCATACTTAGCTAAAGACTTTTTAAAAGATGGATTTAATCCGTTTTTGAAACTATACGCCTCATTTGATATTCTCTATACCAAATTTGTTTATGGAACATTTTATACCTAAAGATAATAGTTTTTAAAAAGAATATCATGAAAACAACGCAATAATTTATTATTTGTACGGTATTCTTATTAAATAATAAATTATTTATAACCTCTCTCATTAACTGTGTATTGTGATCTCTCTGTAAAAAACAATGCATAAAGAGATCTTATAAGAACGCGTTTGTTTCCACAAAAGTAAGTAATTTCTATGAAGTCAATATAGTTCCTAAAATTTTCTATGTGAAAACTAGTCGGATTTTCGTAAAGCCTACCATAGGTGATACATTCCAGAAGTAAAAAATTTAGATTTAACTCTTTTTCTCTCAGCAAGATCAAAGCGTTATCGCCCATTCTTTAGTCTGTTTTAATAACAGACCCAGGGAGGCCAGGGTGGCTCAGCACTCCCATCCATTGTTTCAAATGACAATCCCAAATAACGAAATTCTGATTTATTATGTATAGTTTTTAAATAAAAACACGTTGTATACAATTTTAAAGCTAAAATTTTAAGTATTTATTACTGTTTGTAGGTACATTATTTAATAACATTCTCTTTCTATATATATTATTTTATATGTCAAATAATTTCTGGAGATGGCTCTATGGACCTTCTTTCCCCGAGGTACGCCTTACCCCGGACCATGATATAACCGTCTCACAGTTTGCTATAGCCACCCCTGTTTTAGTTCGTCTAGCTAGCCCTCGTTTAATATACAACCCAAAAGTTGATTACGTTGTCGAGTAAATACATGAAGAATAAGCCTCAATTTAAGAGTTCTATAATTAAAATATGTTTGCCCAATTTTAACAGTCTTCTGGTGAGTACGGAAAAGTCGGCGAGCGTAATTCACAAAAGAGTTAACATATATTCTGCTTTGAATATTCCCATATTTTGATATTGTAAATTATCGATTGGCCACGGATTCCGTAATTTGTACGCTATTTTACATTTCGATTATAGTTTTATTTATTCATTGAGTAGCTTCTATAGTCTCCAAGCTTTTCTCGACTCAAACAAAGAACTAATTAACGAGATGTTTGGTAACTTGGCAGTAACCGAGTGGATATAACAACAGAACACTAGTAGTTGGTCGCGGATTTGTAATACTAATGCCTTAAATATAAGTTCAACATGACTTCTTTTCTCAAGTTTACTTAAATGTGAGACTTGATTACAGTATTCTTGAAAACTTTAATGCCATTTTCAATTACGTACTTATAAAAGTTTCTCAGATTTAATTTATATCGGAAGAAAGTTTGGAAAAACATTTAACTCAGAATTAATATAATTTAAGGACAAAATTCCAAAAAATCCTTTCTATATAGGCTAAATTCATAAATTATACTCACGATAACATCGAATGAACCTTCTTCGACACCGTAATATTCGAATGAATATATTTTTCCGTAAGGTAACTGCAAGGACGTAAGTATTTCTTTGTCGGGTCCTTCTCCAAGAATATCTGCATCCTCTATAACAGGAACTGCAATCCCCGAACAAACTATATCTGGAGCTGAAAAAAAAATCACAAATTGCAATACGTGGTGCTGCTCATTCTTTATTCGAATTTCAAAATTTCTTTTATGTTATTTTATTTGACAATATAATTTTCTGTGTATACGACTGGATAACGAGAAACATCTTAATTTATTACTAAGAACTTTAGATAACTTTTCTTGGAAGGCAATTTCCAAAGTTAAATGTTACTTTTCCGACCACACCCATTAATATGAATATGTTTAAATGATAAAAATAATAAACTCTGTTCATTGGTTACAACGCAAAGTATACAAATCCTTCAGGAAATTGATACATGATTACCTAGAAACATTGTTTTTAGCAATGGCGAGAATCTGCCATTTTAAACTTATGCAAATTAAAACTTCTCCAATCGATCAGGTTTCATTGAATCAATTATAATGGAATGATATACGAATTTACGGAAAAATAAATCTTTAGTAAAATAAAATGCAATTTCACAACTCTGCCGATTCTTAATTTCAAATTCTTCTTGAACCCACTCGTGATAAATTTCCAAAATCTTGCATTTATCCTAAAGATTCGCCAAAGATAATTTTTGAAATGCTCGAGAATTGATTAAAGATCGTTCAAGCTCAGACTTTCGAAGTTAGAAATCCATAAAACAGACTTAGAAGTCAAGAATAGACTTTGAATTCTTGACCTCGATGGTCAGCGATTTGGCAAAGACGGTCTTCGAGCCTGTATATCTTGAAATTTCATTTGGAATTTTGAAAATATTATGGATTGTTTAATCATCATTTCATACGAGTTATTATAATCTAAGCTCAACGTAGTAGTTTTTACACAAGTTAAGAAGAAAATCAATCATTTAATCGCGGGTGTGGCACAAGGATTACGTCAGAATGTTGAATTCCGTGGCATTCAAATTGTATCCTCTCTAAAAAATAGAAATTAGATCACCTGGTATTTTATATTCTTCAGCTTCTGCTTCACCAATTTCCACTCGAAGAATATTCAAGCTTCCTTTCCAAGTTGTAACCTGGCACGAACTTTCTAACTCGGGTACTGTTTTCTCGGGACACTCTAATTGTATATTGCTCTCTTTTTCTTCAACTTGTACACGAACAATCTCAGAAACTAGCTGTTTAGAAACTAAGATTTAGTTTAGTGCTGCTGTGATACCTTAAAGAGCAACTGGAATTTAGGATACCACAGGAAAGCAAGAATTTAAAAGTCAAGCAAGTAAAAAGGTCTTTGTTCATTCGTTCTAAAACGTAAAAATTTTGGATTTCCTGTCCGATCTTAGAATTGATCGCGAGTCACATGTTAATTAATATAATTGGCAGCGATTTGGCAAAGGTGATCTTTCTTATATAAATTACGGAGTGCCAAAAACGATCGATATGACAGAAATCAAAATAATTATCTTTCGCAATCATCTATAATTGTATCCGTCACCGCTTTCATTGGGTGAATCGATACGCAAAATCGATAAAACGTCACGACCCAACCGAGAAATCGCCAAAGTTACCAAAGAAAATCGCTCGAGATTGGCATTTATCGCGAAATCAGCCGTCACGGCAAATGCTTTTAGTCACGTTCACGGTAATTAAAAGAACGTAAGAACGGAAATCGGGCATAATTAAAATGAATTATTTTTGTGCCATTGAATAGTTATAGTTGCAGCACGATTTATATCGTCCGCGCCGTTTGAGAGTTTTAACGTTACTTCGCACAGTTTACATTCGATTTTCACGAAATTTTCTTTAAATAAATCGTAACTTACTGACTTATGTATGACATTGTCTGTAACAGCAGCTACAATGTCGTAAATTCCAGGTGTGAGATAAGTTTTGTCGACTGAGAACTCGTTAAAGGCTGAAGTTTTAGTGGTCGTCCCGTCACCAAAGTTAATGAATAATGGAAGTTCTTGTGACGATTCTATTTCTATTTTTACTTTAACTGGTTCATCTATGAAAGAAAACAAACCGAATTAAATAATTAAACATAAATTATCAGTTTTATTAAGAAATGTTTAGCTTTTATTTATTTTAATTCATAAAGTGACCTTGTTGCATTTTTTTATCTTATCGTGGAAAAGTACCGGTTTCAAGAACTATATGGGATCGATTCTCTCATTTTCCTCGATTTCAGAGTGATAAAATTTGAGAAATAAAATTGAAAACTGTAAAAAATGTGTTTAAAACTTTTTAAATCTAATTTTAACGAAAGGATTTTTGGATTTTAAAGTTTTATTTGATGAATTGAAAAAAAAAAAACTGAGGGATGGAACTTACGACTGTACATTTATTGTATAGACAGGAAAAATTAACTACTATTGCTTGAAAATAAGCTCAACAATATCTGTTGATGCCACAATTTTTCAAAATGAAAGAAAATTTAATCTACTAAAGTATTTAATCATAATACTCTTCTAGAAAAGACGGGAATTTAGAGTAAGAAAACGGAATTTTCGCACGTAAAGGAAGATATTAGGAAGAAAACCAAATACTATGAATATTTGCGCAAAAGAAAGTGAAAAACTGTTTTTGTCAATAAAGTTTACGTTATTTTCTCCTTGGAAATAGCCATAAAATGGAAGAGAAATCAAGCTCCATGTATAAAAATACATGAAAAACTCAGTACTTGTAAGCACAGTTGCAAGATTAACAACTACATACAAAATATTTAGAGGGAGAATTTATGCAATGCGAATTGGCAAAAAGTTTTAAAATACTTTAAATTAAAATTAATAACAAGAAAGTTTTCCTACGAGGAAAGATATTTTAGAAATGAGTATGAATCTTGTAAGTGTTTGCTTAAGGAAAATTAAAGAAAGATTTCTCAATACAATATCAACTTATGGGCATTTCGAAAGGAAAAGCAGATAAGGGGTGCCTAAATTAAGTTTTTTTATACAAAAAATATCGCGGTGTTTTATAATCAGAAGATAGGAAGAGTAAACTATACCTGTCAGTATTGTTCCTAGGGATGTTTATTTAAGAACGAGAGGGTGCCAAGCGCGACACTTCGACAAAGACACCGTACGAGGTGGAGGTCGGGGTAACAATTCCGACGGTGGCGAGGGGCGCGGTCTAAAACTACACCGAAACCCGTTACCTCGGCAACAGACGCAAAACATTACAAGAGTAACTATAGCGTGATTACTTGTATAGCTTTTATTCGATGATATTTTTAATGCAATTCTTTCCAACGTTCTCTTAATTGTGATGTCGTAGACCGTATACACGTTGGGGTCTTCGGAACCACAGATCTTATCCCCGTCTCCCGAACAGGGGAGGGAACACGAGTCAACTTCTACTCTCTCTATAAAAATATCGATCGGTTAGATCGGGATGTTAATGCATTGATTAAGAAGTTAAAGATCTACTTACTCTCTATCGAATTACCACACAAGCAGCGATTACCGTTTTGCAGGGCTGCGTATTTAAACTTTGAATCAATACACAAGTCCCTGCATTTGCTTACTGTTAATGTTTGAGGGTCGTAACACCCTGGTGACCATTGGAACGCTATCGATTCTGGCTCCACTTTCAGACATTTCGGCGCTCCTGTTAGTCAAAGTATTGTTTAAGTTACGCTGCTTGGTTGTATGTAACAAGTAACAATAACAAAAAGTATAGACAAACCTTCCTCTTCTTGAGCTTTGATCTGTAAAAAAATAAATTTTAATAAATTAAAATTACTTTTACTCTTTTTTTTAAGAAAGTGTTGAAATTTTTGGNATCATGAATACGATGCCTGACTGCAATTTTCAATTATATTTTTAATTTATTTAATTTAAAATATATGCTCTCCACCTCAAATTAGTAGTGACTTGTCCCTGTATACAATCAAGATAAGTACTGTATTTGGGGTCTTTAGTAAACCATGTGTTCAAGCAAATACCGGATTCGCGGAATAGTAGCATGCCGGATTATCAGGGTACCGAATTAACGATTTCTGTAATTTCTAACGCTAAAACCTACTAATTTTAAATGGACCAGTAGTAAAATATTTTTTATTCTTTATTTCTTTATCTTAGAAAAAACTTGGATCATTTTAAGACTAGAGATTTTATAAAATTCTTTCTTAAACACTAATAGGGCCTTTTTAAATTAACAAGCCCATTTCGTGTTCAGACAGTGCAGCGTTATCGCGTAGGCAAAAAAAGAGAAATTGCCTGGATCCCATCAATAGGGGGGAGCCCAAAATAATTTTTATAAGAAAATAATTCCCTCAAAAGTTATGAAGTCAATACTACGTGGGGTTCCCTAATTCAAATTCTTCTGTGCACCATGTGCCACTAGTTCAGACAGATCCAATATGGGGCTGCTGAGAGGACCAGACATATCCGGGACAGACTACTCCCGAAAAATTACTGGTTTTTATCCCAGATCCCTCAAAGTAATGATGCCTCAACCATCCTTGTCATCCAGACCCCTACACAAGGGACTAAATTCTCTAGTACCTAGTACATAAAGTTGTTAGATAATAATTTTATTTTTAAAAAATCAAAGCAATTAATGTTTTGGCACAATGTTTCAAATCTTTTGAGTAGATAAAACCACCGAACACGGGCTCACAAGATGGCCACGTGGATTTTCCGTGATTCCTTCACGCGTGTAACGTCTAAATAGGAAGGAGTTAATTGAAATATGATGAATTTTAATACGATTTCATTTTCCTTTTAATAAAAAAAATAATGTTTTTCACTTACCTACTCGTATACATTTAGGATATTCTCCTATCCAGTGGTGCCTCCGACAATACAGCTTAGAAGTATTGTTACTCTCCATGGTATAACCTTTATTACAATCATACAGAGCTACAAGGTACTTATTGTATGGATAAGTATCATTTGTCACTCTAATATATTCTTTAACGTGGGCATTTGGTACTTTTGGTGCCCAAATAAAATTTGCTGCTGTATTTAAACAACTTATATCATAGGCAACACCATTATTAATGTTTACATTCCGTGAATTAGGTGTAATTTTAGGAGTTAAGGCTGAAGAGAATTAAAAGGAAAGAAAAGAAAACACATGAGGAAAATTTTAATAAATTAAAATTACTTTTACTCTTTTTTTTAAGAAAGTGTTGAAATTTTTGGACCTTTGAAGTCCATTTAACGCTAAAACAATTCCAGATATCAGATCTAACTTATCACAAATTGTCTACATTTTCCCAAATTTCATCATAATATGCTGCAACTTGTTCGTTTGACTTGCAAATTTACACAGTGCAACATACACATTTACACATTACAATCCGTCATCGATTATCTAAAAACGTTTAAGTCCCCCTCTGTAGTTATTATCCGGTAGTAAGTATAATCATCGTTTATAAAATTACACCCACTTACTAAAAATGCTGGGTGCAGGTGCCAATCGATATAAGCTTCCAACTGCTCTACACTTTACTTTAGAGGTTAAATTTACAAGCACAACTTTTCTACAATGAACTAATTATGTTCCTTTTACTCATTATACTAATCTAATCGTTTCTTTGTATCTTTACCCTTATTTCACAAGTGTTATCGAGTGATAATAGCTTACACAGTCGATTCTGTAACATCGATACACATTTAAAGTCACGAAACAAACATTTATTATTATTACATTTAATTTATAGGCTATAAATTTTGGTGTGGTGTTACCACCTTTATTAGCCACTAAATCCCTTTGTTCTGTTAAGTTCACTTCTTCTAGCTACTAAATAACACTCTAAATCTTCCAGAATCTTATTTCTTTTGAAACCTTTTAGTTTCTTACACTTGAGTTTATATCGATGTTGATGTTTTGATGTTTTTCTTTTCAATCAAAGTATTGTACCTAAAAATGCCAAAATCTCTTCGAAAGGTTCAAATGACTGCATCTTAAAGCGTATTTTTAAGTTGGAACCACAACAAAATACGTCTTTGATCGAGAAAGGGTCCTAAAAAACGGGAAGTTAATTTCAAACCGGTGTCAGATTTCGTTCAATGACTGTTCCTATGATTTATGATGATCGAATGTGGTGCCTCGCCCTTTTCTGCAACACCCGCATTGCATGCAGTTGATACAATGAGTCAGCCTATAAGCTAACGTTTCCCGTAATTACAGCCACAAAAAGAAGAGAATTTTACAGGAAACAAGAAAAATAATATTCAACAAAAGCTAATGCTCTTAACTAATACATCTATTCTATAATCTAAATATTCTAAAAACAGCGGTTAATAACGTTTAAAATGTGAAAAAAATAGCTTAGGTGCCTGCTCGTTAAGTGATTAAAATGAATATATTAATACTCACAACGCCTCGAGGGAGTAAATAAGTGACACGTAACGAAATCCCTCGAGAGTTGGCTCCAAAATCCCCAAGATACAATTGATTTCAAGGGCACAAGCTTTGTAAATAGTTTCAAACCATTCCTTGGGGAATTTCGATTTTGTAAACGCCAACTTTTCTATTGAATTATGGACACTTTAGGGAATTATGTTTTTTATACTTTTTTTTTGAATATTTCAAGACGAATTTCCCTTTGTTAGTTTTAAAATTATCACAGCCTTTTGAAAGTATATAATTAATTTACAAAGAAATAACTGTAAAGTGATTATTCCATATTTTTATTTATTTTCATTAACATTATAAGAGAACTTACCAAGATGATGTTGATTAAGGTGATGACGAGATGATGTCGAAGCATGTTTCAATTAAAAGTGGAAAAGACATCTAAAAAGAATATATTCCAATAAATAGTTATTGGGGCATGGTTGCTAGGAGCTTTGTCGGGTGTTCATGGAGTAAACAAACTGAGTTATATCCAAAACAGAGCCAGACCCGAGGAGGGGTGGATCATCAGCATGCAATGCGTGGCTAATTTTGCCAACAACTAGCGTGCTACGCATATCAATTGCCTTATAGATCTAGTTGCTTATCTGAATTTCAAAGAAGCGTATACTTACTACGAAAAATGATAAACATCTTTATGTAGGAGGGGTACAACAGGGATGGTCTCCCTACTCATATGTTAATTCTATATTTAATGTGTTAATTGTGTAATGATTTCTAGTTAGAATTAAGAATTACGACTTAATTGTGAACCTGACGTTGTGTAGTGGGGTGATTGAACAACTCTATGCCCACTATAGCATAGCTTAAATTAATATTAGTACATGCTATAACAAAATTTACATTAATATTTACAGTAACTGGATTCAGTATCAGCAACTGAACGCCTACAACACGAGAACGTAGCTTGTTCGTTAGTATTACAAAGTATTCCTCAGCTCACCCCGACATTCAGAAGTATTCTGATTAAACATGAAATTAGAAACAGAAAGGCATAGCTAAGTTTTAATTACATATGTTAAGCAGGGAAGGTTTTATCTCAATTTAATTAATTAATATGTAGTGTTGATTTACGCTCCATTATAGCATTTATGTAGAAAGGATACGACAGATCAGTGTATAGAAGGAGAGTTCTCTTCTAAATTAGCTTAAAATACAAAGAATGGTAAATATAATCCCTCATATTTTAAGTTTAGACTAATATTGGTTCAACTTCTAGAGGTGCAATTTCAGTATTTAACGTTGAGAAAGAGATGGCTTGAAGGGAAGTGAAGGGGTGATTCAGCTTAAGTACAGTACAAAGAATAGGATGTAATGAACAATTTTAAAACTCTCAATATTTAAACTGTAAGATCTATTTATAGCTCATTTGAATATAATATTAAATCATTGAGACCATTACGCCGAAATTACTCTTAAAATCTCAACAATGCGGTAATTATTCAATCTTCTGTCTGAAAATTTATGATCAGGATATTAATAGCTATACTGTATTTGTGTCGTTGACAAACATTATCTAAATATACAGAATTACAGATAAAATTGTTTTCTTTTTACCCTTATCAACTTCGATTTATAAAAAGTAAAAGCAACATATTTAATGCCAAGTGGCGTGACTCCATTACAAGAGCGATATCGCCATCCGTCGCCATGATAAACGCCATTTAAATCGCGTGCCTCGGAAACACCCTTAATTATAATTAAGCAGCCTACTTCTGGTGATAAATATATAATCTACTTTCGAGTTTCGACTGAATTTATATAAATATTATCATAATTTCATGCATTTTAATGCTTTATTATGCCTTTAAAACTCCCGTTTATAGTGCAGGGCGTTCTGTTTCTGTTGTGAGTATCAGCAGACAGTTTTCTGTACTTGATAGCTGTTAAAAGAGTTTCTTTTCAGATTAGTATCAATATTATCCAAATTTAATGTTGATTGCTACCGATATCCACTTTATAGTTCCATATTATTGATACTAGAAGTCATAAGTTTACAAGTCTGTTCGAAGCTCAAAAATGTTTAATAACAATTATTTATAATCTTAAGTATCAATAACTTTAATAAACTGTTCGAAATTCTTTCAGTAACGTTCAATAACACGCTCAACGACTCCAGCTATCAATAATGCTTTCAATAGCTCTTGTAGGTGATCAATAATACATTCAATGAATGCACTAAGTTATCAATATTTTCTGTATTATCAATTTGTTCGTAACTTCAGTAAAGTATCAATAACTCTATTCTTAACATATATAAAATATCAATAGCCCTGTACATAACATAAATAAAACGTGAAAAATCTTGTTGGTAACTTAAACGTATCAGCAATATTCTATAACTACTTGTTCTTGATATCAGTGAGGCTGTCCATGAATTATGTAAGGCAGCTATGGGTGGGTGTTAAAAGAGTACCGTTACGTAATGCTTGGGTCTCAACTCTTGGGTAGCAGAACAATTCACTTTTGTTTCTGAAAGGTTGCATAGAGAACCTTAATGTTTATGTTACTGTTTTTGTACATGTATGTAATGAAATAATATAATTTTTGGACCCCGTGTGATGTATATTATTTCTTAGTACAATTAACGAGGTTCGTATATGTGTTACGTAATTTATGGACCATCCCACGAATCAAGTATCAAAAACTTTGTTCACAATATAAAGTTTCAGAAAATTTGTTCGTAACTTAAATACTGGTAAAGTATCAATAACCCTTGCTGGTAACATAAGTTTATCAATAACTCATCCCGGGTTAGGTTTACATCTTATTCTGATATTGACGTTATTAACTAAGTATCAGAAACTTTGTTCACATACTCAGTAAAAACTATAACACAATAACAAATCAATAACACGTCATAACTTGACAATGAAGCTAAACTTCAACAACGCAACGATCAATAACCTCACGTTGATCAATAACTTGGAACATGGATAGATTTTAGACAGTATCAAACAGATTTTTATATAGGAAAAAATTACGTTTTAAAACGATTGATATTTGTATTAATTATCATTATCGATCCGGTTTGAAAGGGTACATAGATACCAGCAATAACAAACGTTACCAAGAAACCAAAGTAGGGCGTGTGATGTAGTGGAATGTGATACACGTGTACCCTATAACAACATCCCCCGATCGATTCCCTATCGAGCATTAACAATCAAATATAAATTTAAATGAAAATTTGCTATTTTTGGAAAGTCGAGTGATTTGAACTCCTTCTAAAACACGTGCATTATCAAAACAGGGGACAGAATATTGACGGGAACGTTGGCTGCTAAATTAAATTTGAACCGAATTTTCATTTGTTTTTCTAAAAAATTTTACTTTTAGAAAAAGAAGTGTCTTTTTTTTATTTGAATAATTCATAACCCGTTAATCGAATTTTTCAAATTTATACATTTAAAATTTGATAATTGTATTTTTCGGATTTAAATAAAGGAGATAGATTAAATGGTAATTTTTTTTACATCAAAAATTCAGATTTTTAGAAGATAACGTGAAATTTTTACGAATAAGTAAAGGATTTAAAACATGGCAGCATAATTTGCATTGTTAAATTATGTTTTAACGGTTTGTATAATTAGTTTAAAGAGCTTAACAAGTGAATTTAACCGTAACTTTGAATGAAATAGTGCTGTATATTACACACCACAACGTAACAAAACATTTTGTATGACGAACTACACAATTATATCGTCACAAACAATTAATACTTCGTCAGATAGAATAGTTTTTTTCAGTGTTGCCGATCGATAACGTATACAAATTTTCTTGTAAATTCTGTATTCAAACCGATAAAAACTACAAAAGTAATTGGGTGAACGTTTGAAATTTAATAAACTTTTTCAAGCTGTTTGATTGGATAAAATACTATGAAAGCAAAGTGTTTATTGTTCATATCGATTGAGCCTTGTTGTATTTCGTCACGGGCCGCTGACTGTTTCGTCATAAAATATAGTTTTCTACCAAAAATTATCGTATCTATAAAAATACACAAAAATGCGCTAAAATTATTTTTAAAAATATCAAAATATTAACATTTTTTTGGAAATCGGCTTAAAACGTAAAAAATTATCGAAATCGATGCAGAAATTATCGAAAAGTTTTCAAAAGCTAAAAATGTTTATACAAAAAATTCACTTAAAACGTCTCTGAAAAGTATCTAACAACTTAAAAGCCATCAACAATTTACAAAATAAGATTTTAATAATTATGAAAATAATTTTCCCTGATAATATTTCAGTAAAGCTTAAAAAGCCCCCTTAACATTTAACACCCCCGAAAATCCTTGAAAACACATAACATGTAAAAATCTGTGAAATCCTGAAAAACCCTGATAACATCTAAAAAGCCCCAAGATACCCCGAAAGAACCGTAAAATGGTTTATTAGACGTTATTAGGAAAAATTATTTTTAATCATCAAAATTAGTTAAATCCCAGAACATCTTTCGACAAAATTATGAAGAACTTTTCTGAATCTAAATGCCGATGTTTTAATAGAATTTACTCGAGAAATTATTTCTAAAAAAGAAAAAAATTGAAAGCTTCCATGTTCCTTTATCTACAAAGAAGTTTCTTTTTAGAGTTTTTTGTTTCTCGAGAGTTTTCTATTAAAGAAAACGAGAGATTTACAGATAAATCAGACAGTTTTTAAGATTAAATTCAAATTTAGATTTATGGCGGAGCCGCGTAGTCCAATTTTTATAGCAGTTTGGCATTTAAATACGTTGTCGTCTGACACTTCGTGAGGGTTTGTGAGGCTCGCGTGACCTTACAATTCGTCTCGACTTCCTTCGCGTGGCACCGACTCACTTTCGCGTGACTGTCGAGCGTGATTGGCACTTTCCACTTGTTTAATTCGTCGAACTGAATAAAAAAAAAAAAAGTTGCTACTGGGCGCTGTCGATGAAAACGAATATCTTCGTTGAAATTTTAACCAATCAAAACTTTTCTTTCATGTAGTTTGCACAAGTATCACGTATCACAAGTAATTTTTTAAATCTTGAAGCTTACAGAGGGCGTTCAAAACTTTCCAAATCTGCAAGGCCATCACGAATAACCTAAATCTATAATTTTAAAAGCAACAGTTTGGTTCTTTCAAGTGCGCGATGCCAGGTTATGGGCCTACAGCAAATGATCGCCTAGACCACAATTTAAACCTTCACAATAGTTATCTACTGCTACTCCAAATAATCTAAATCCTGTAATACTATGACAACGAATAATGTTCTAAATCTTAAAAATTATGATTTAGTCCTTCTAAACCGTGTTTTCTGTTGTATAGATATATCGCAAATTATCAAATCTTGTAGTTTAGAAGTCCATTATTTAAGTCCACAAGCCACAATGTCAGTCTAATTTGAAGCGTAGAAGGCCTACTTTTGGAGGTAAAGCCGAATAATGTATACACATTTCTTCCAATTTTTAAACTTTCAAATAATTTCATCCGTCTATTCGGTACATTCATTACGTCGGCCGTTTTCTTACGAAGTCGACTTGTAGAGTAAGAGAGAGGAATAATATATATATACAGTATTATTAAGTGCCAACGAAAGAAAATGATATTGTGCACGAAAGCCATATGCATCAGAATTTTCTCGTTTTAACTCCAAAATGTCACGTCATTGAGTTAAAATCGTTTTTGCGCATTAAGCCAACACGAACACATTGCTAAAGGTGACGACAACGGATCGACTAGAAATCTAATTAACTAAATAAAAAAGTAACGAGTTTAAAAACATTTTAAATTTTTTCCTATAATTAAACAATTAATTAACAAACAATTGTGATGTAGTACGTACAGTACACGTAGTTTCATTATAATCTTTTGTGTTAATTAAATGTAGCATTCCATTACACTTGAAAACGGAAAACAACATTTGTGATGCATTCCAACTGTCGTATAGAATTATCACACGTCTCACGTTAAAAAAATAATTTGAAAAATATTAAATCAAAGGGAAGAAATGTAAATGTGGCACTTTGTTTAGCCAAACTGAATTTAATTTTATATTTGAATTTCGTCTAAAAGAAATCTAGCAGAATGGGACCAAAGAGAGCCCGAGATTTCGAGAAATGACAGATTGAAGAAGACACTGACTGAAAGTGCTGCAAGACAGAAATATCATAAACAAATATAAATCTAATAAAAAATAAAAATTTATTAAAATTCTGTGTCAATATTATGAAAATGCGAGTATTTATTTAGGCTACTACATAATAGGAAAAATCAATTCCAGCTCATATACTTGGCTAGGAACTGTTTCTTAAACTCTTCTACAGATTTTATAAGGAGAAATTTCGAAATTTGATAAACTATTTTTTTATAAATTTGCCATACTTTCAAATATTAACACAGTTGTTTTAGTAATTTAGGAATTGTCATGTATAAAAATTTAAAAAACACTTTCAATCGTTTTTAGTTAAAACATCGCACTGTACTTGTCTTCCCTAAGCGCTTAAATTGAAACTAACTACTACTTAAGCAAAGCATTAAAAAATTCAATATCTATAGCAAAAATCATTCTTTCGCAAAGATACCGGCGAAATAAAAGTTGAAAATACAGCGAGACAATTGTTGAAAGCGTTGCATTCTGGTTTATGCTCTGAATTAGAAAATAATTAGAGTCGTAAAAGAAAGCCAGAAGTTTAGATTATGTAATAACTTAAAAATGAAAAACTGCAGATAAATATAATGAGTACTGATTTCAAGAATACTGTATGGGCTAGTTGAGGCGGCGCCAAGAAGAGATTTTGTTTCTCCAAAAAATGTAAAATGTGTTGAAATTCTAGTTTATAATATTACAATTTACACTAGTCATTCGCAAATATTTAATTATTTTATAAAAGTATACTAATATTTCGGTAAAAGAAGAATTGTTTAGTATCACGTAGCATCTTCGTGTAAATTATTAAATAAAAAAAAATCCATAATTTCGTAAAGCTATACATATAAATAAAAATATTAGTCCACTCTATTATGGTAAATAGTTTTTAGTATTTTAAATTGAATATTTTTAATAATCGGAAAAATTCAGATCAATTAAACAATACGAACCAGGCAAAAATGACGGCCTATTTAAAAATAGTCCAAGTTTTAGGCTATAATTTGGCTATTAAGTTAAGCTGCGATACTGGACAAGTGGGCAGACTTTTCGAATATTTAGCGGGACTTGGTTTATTTGTAAATAGAATACGGGCTTAAAATTGAAAAAAATGGACAAGAGAAATGGAAAGAATTACTTAAAAAGGAATGGAAAAACACAATTAAAGATAGAAACGAGCTTGGAAGAAAAGCAAGATGGAGAGAAATCCAGTTTTTTGTTTAATTTGATCTCTTTTAGGGAAGAAAATGTCATTGATAGGTTTGTAAAGGTTATTTTATTTACGGGATTTTAATTTGGCTCGGTATGTGCACGTGTGTAATTGTTTGGGTTTATACAATGAGTTGTATGTGACTAAAACGTAACCAAATAACATACGTTGCCAACGATTTTGTGCTTGCGTATATTGACTTTATTAAAACCATGTTCGCATTCATCGACGTTAAGAATAATACGAGAAAAAGGACATTTACGAATGGTGTTAATGCATAGAGATTAAGTACAACTAATGTCAGGAAGAACTGATAAAGGCTGGTATCATATCTAGAAAAACGTCATCGTGACAATACGGTTAAAATTCCCTACACAATGTAAACAGTAAAAGAAATACTCGATAAAAAAAATACAGTATAATGTATTTATTACATATTATAAAACTCTAATAACAAGGAGCTAACAAAATTGCGAGTTTTATCTAAGATAGAAAATTATATTATTAAATCAGTTCATGAGTTATGTATTGAAAATAAGTAATTCTTTTAGAAACAAGCAGGAGTCACTTATGTAAGAAATCAGGAAAAAGGTTTAGTATATACAGAGTTAATAAGTTTCAAAGATGTGTAGCTTCTTATTAGAAGCTACACATCTATGAAAATTAGGTGGCTAGCTCCTTATAAAGGACTTTTAAGGAGTTATATAAGAAACAGAAATAGCGACTGAACTCTTATTGCATTAAATATAACCAAATCGATCGAGACGAACGAGAACTTTAGCCACACTTTTTGAAATATTATGTTTTGTTTGAAATGTAACAAGTTTCTCCTATTATGTTTCAATTGATTTGATTTCAGTTTTGGTATAAAGGCCAGTTTTAATTATTATTATTTTATTATTTTTAAATTTAATTATTAGTTTTAGTTTAATTAACTGGCTACGTAGTATTAACAAATATAAATATTATATTAACAAATTTTTGTTATTTAATTTTACTTAAGCTTAATTAAACATGAATTCTTGAATGCTATTTATATAATGTGAATGTCAGTTAACACGGTTTTTATTAATTTGATTTAAATTTGACTGTGATGTGTATCGAAAAACAGAAATAGTATCATTTCTATATGCACATTGAATTGTAATTTAAATAGCAACGTCGTCGTTGATTTGTATTGTGACGTGAGGCAATCTGGGCGGCGCTAACTACTGAATTGGTAGTTTTGTCGTTATTTGGTTGGGCCGTCAACTTTCTTTAACACGGGAAGTATAGGAAGTTGACCATTGGTGTCCGGCTCTACTGAGAAGCTTGTTTGGCAACCGGGGCCAAAATGAGTTCACAATTTAGTTCGTAAACCGAATTGTTTGAAAGGTGAGGTGTTTGAAACCAGAGTTTTGTACAGTACTATATTTGATTTTTCAGTCATAGAGTACAGACATTTGTAATTTATATCTGACAACCAAGAGTCTCTGCCACTTTTATAAGATAGTATTTGTAGATTAATGACATAGTCTTGCATTTTACAACAGTAGGCTAGATATGGTACTGATTGATTGATTGATGGATTGATGGACAGCTGATTAACATTACAGATAATTAAAACAGTTAATTGAAAGTAATATGATTGTAATCAGAAAACAAGTTAGTATCATTAATAGTTGTATAATTAGATAACTTAATGTATTTTTCTGCAATAATTGTAGTTTTGTTGCTGTTTGATTTTTGTATTTGTTTAATTAAATGTAAAATGTAATTTTGTTAATTAAATCTTATTAACATATTAACACAGTAATTATTTATTAGCGCAGAATAATTAAACTTATATCAATGAAAATATTTTAGTGATGTAAATATCAAATTGGCAGTTTTTAATTAAATACTCTATTTCAATATGTAAAAATGTCAAGATTCTAGCATTCTTATCATTTCATAATCTTACCATAAATTTACCTCTTGGAATGGATAGCTTTCTTTCATTAATTAATTATCTATTAGAATAATTGCAATGAATACTGTTGTTATATTTATAGTATTAAAATATACAGTTTATGAATTTGTTTCCATAGCAACTGTTATGTTAAAAGTAATTTTTTGTGGTAGGAAGCAAATTTAAATTTAAATTAATATACATATCACAGATTACAGTGAAATTAAACACTTGTTTCAGACATTATTGTTCCAGCATCTAGATTTTCTATTGTATAGATCAGCGATTTTCGATGTGTGTGCCACAGCGCCTAGGGAACCGCAGCACCTGCGAGGAAGCCACAAAATATTATAAAATTTTGATAATTTTACTTTCCCTTTCAATTCGATGTGATAAGATGCGACATCTAGCAGACCTGATGCAAATCATTAACTCAGTAATAAAGATGCACATAGAATCGCAAAATGTGAAAAGCATCATACTATCTCAGAAAACCTCATTCTACTGGCTGCTTCAGATATGGTGAACATTATGATTGATGGGTCTGCTGGATAGCAGCTTTCAAAAGTGCCTTTGTCCAATAACACTAACAGTTGAAGAATACAGCACATAGTGAAGGATCTCCAATGTTTAGTTTGGATTGCAGCTGGTGAGGACACAGATAATAATAATGATGCTCACTTGGTTTGCTATGTACAGTTTATAGATAATAATAACATTGTAGAAGACTTTCTCTTCTGTAAAAGTATTATTGCTGGTGCTAAGGCTCATGACTTGTTCTAGATCCTTCATATTTTTATTTCAGAAAATAATTTGAAGTGGACCAAATGCATTGGTATCTTTACTGATAGTGCTCATTCTATGTCTGGATGTTATGGAGGATTGCAAGGAATTTTTCGAAACAAAGATCCTGATGCACTATGGACCCTATTGTGTTATTCACAGGACAACACTCACATTAAAATATCTCAGTCCTGCATTGAACCAGAATATGTAGTACATGTAGTAAACTTTATAAAAATGGCTATTGAGGCAAGATTTTTCAAAAAACTCTGTGAGGGTGTGGGATCCAAGCACACATCTTTGTTGTACTACAGCGCTTCGTGAAAGTACAAAACATTACCACGAGAGAGCAATGGCTCTCGAGGTAATACTTTGTCTTGTATATTTGAACTGCAACAGGAAATTTATATTTTTCTTAAAGAGGAAGACCATAAGTATTCCAAAAATTTTGTGATTAAAGATTTTTTGGCAAAACTAGCATACTTATGTGATATTTTTGAAAAGCTGAATGCTCTGAATCTCTTTTTGTAGGGAAGCAGCGTGCACCTTTCAAAGTTGATTGAGAAAATTTCAGCTTTTATAAAAAAATTAAAACTATGGAAAAGAAAAATAAACGATGACAAAGGAAAACAATGTTTCCTCTTGTTGCAACAGTTTTTGATCTCCAATGGTGTTGATTTCTCTCGAGGTGTGAAATCTAGTTTTGAAGAACATTTATCACAGCATATCACCTGATTTCAGATATATTTTCAAAATGATAATATTGATAAATTTTGATAAATTTGCATAAATTCAATGCCAGTTCTCCATCTGAATTTACTGCTGCAGAATAAGAGAATCTTATTGAGTTGTCTTGTAACAGTACATTGAAAACAAAATTTATCAGCATGGAATTAACTGAATTTTGGATATCAGTAAAAGATGAATATCCCTTCTGAGTGGTAAAACTCAGAGAATTTTAATTCCATTTGCGACTTCTTATTTGTGCACAGCGGGTCTGGTCTGTTGCTGTGATAAAAACTAAGCATTGCACGAAAATCAATGTGGAGAAGGAAATGAGGGTGGCTGTGCCCAGTTTTATTCTAAGGTTTGAGAAAATGTGCTGTGATCAACAGACTCATCAATCCCACTAATTATAATTAATTGAATTTGTTCAATTACATTTTTTAGTTACCTTAAATACGTGTTTTATTTATTTTTTACTTAACATCTTAACTCTTAAAACATATTGGCTATTTCTTTATTTTGCAAATTGTATGTGTTAGAATTTGACATAGGGCACTTGGGAAAATTTGAATTTAGCAAGGGTGCTGAGAATCAAAAAAGTTTGAGAACCACTGGTATAGATAAAATTTATACTTCTTATTAATAGCAGGTCATTTCAAGATTTAAGCTTGACAAGTTTTTCTACCATTCTTATTAGAATTGTTTTAACTTTAAATTATGCTGGAATGATGCATCCAGAATATTCTTCATTAAATGAGTGTGTTTTGTTGAATTAATCACAGCACCTTTAACAGTCTCTAAAGTTAAAAGAATGCTAGAGATGACATTAAAAGAGCAAGATCTGCTACAGTTTTATCTTTATTAGCTAACTTTCCTATACTGAGGTAGATTGGCAGGTGACCAAAATCATCAAACTTTCTCTCAACCCTTTTACAAAAGTATGAAATTTCTTTTACAAAACTTTCTCTCAACCCTTCTACACCTATCTTTTACAAAAGTATGAAATTTCTTACATTATTGTCAACAAGTGTTTAAACAGCAGTGAGAAGGATTCCCTTTTTCCTGCCTGGTATTCTCTTAGTTTTTCAGATCAACTGCTGTTGACACAGTCCACTTCCTGCTTGTGTGCGCTATATATTCTTTCCTAATCAACACTGGCATTATGTTTTCATCTATTATACTAACACTATAACGGATTTCCGTTTTTAGTGCTAGTATAATTGAACACAAGACTAGACAAGAAGTGTATTGTAGAAATGTTTTCATCTGTCCACATCTGAGAATGATACATTGAAAATGTCAAAGTTAGCATTCCTTTAACAGTTTGACTTTACCCACTATTAAAGCTGCATTGATTAATTCATTGGATTAACTACAGTTGCATGTTCATCTTTCATATTGTGATTTTTCTAGACTTGACAATATTATTTTTGTTTTCCTATTTTCTTAATTTCAATTTCAAATTTTTTTTTAGATAAATGTCAAAATAGATATATTTAACTTTAAAAACTTTGTATACTGAAGCTATGGAATTCAAACTGTTTATTTGTTGATTTACACTCATTAAGTAATGTTGTAATGCATGAGATTACTACTCTCAACAAAACAATG